GCCTGGGCTACAAAGTGAGCTCAAGGCCAGCCTGAACTGCATAGCGAGACCCTGTCTCAAAAAGACAAAAAAAAAAAAAAATCTTCCCATACTGGGATTTGAACTCAGGATTTTTGCTTCAAGCTACATCCCCCACACTTTCTTTAATTTTTAAGATGGAGTCTTGGTAAATTGTCCAGGGTGGCCTCAAGCTTGTGATCCTCCTGCCTCAGCCTCCCACAGTATTAGGATTATGAGTGTGTGCCACCATGCCTTAGCTATTTATTTATTTATTTATTTATTTATTTATTTATAATCTAGAGATTAAACAACAAGCCCCAAGCATGCTTGACAAGCGCTCTACCATCTGAGATATACCCCTGGCTGCTACCACTATGTATTGAAAAGCTATGCAGGGCTGGGGATATAGCTCAGTGCCTGCCTGGCAAGTGAGAGGTCCTGAGTTCGATTCTCAGTACAAAAAAAAAAAAGCTATGCATTAGGGTTACAACTATGAAATAATAAAGATACTGTTTTTACTTCAGTTAGTCTTTGTGTTCTTAGGATTCACCAAATTGGCTTAAATGGTAAAATGGATAAATGAAGAGTCCTTATTTGCAGCTTCTAAGAGAGAAGAAGGGAGAAAGAGATCTTATTTATATTCTTTTTTTTTTTTTTTTTTTTTTTTTTTGTCTTTTTCCTTTTTATCGGAACTGGGGATCGAACTCACAACTGCCTGCTTGCAAGGCAGGCGCTTATGCTGCTGAGCAAATCTCTGGGTTCTGCTACGTCCCCCAGGGTGGTCTCTAACTTCTGGGCTCATGAAGTCTTCCCACCACATTCTTCCAGTAGCTGGAAAGCCTGGCATATACCAGCCCACATGGTTAGAAAGGAGAATTTTAAAAATAAGATGGAGGCCAGGTGTGTTGGTCCATGCTTGTGCTCCCAGCACTGGGGAAGCAGAGGCAGGAGGATCACTATGAGGCCAGCCTGAATTCCATAGTGAGAGCCCCCTCTCTTGTTTTCAAATATCATCTTTGCTGTGGGAGTAGCCCAGCGGAAGAGTACAGGCTTAGCATGTGACATGCCCTTGGGTTCAATCCCTAGGGTTTGCAGGAGAATATTTCTAGGGCACTTGATTAAATGCTTTTTGTCTTCTAGTTGAATTTCATCTTTAAGAAAAGAAGACAGTGTCTGCAAGGTGGATGACTTTTCTAAGGAGACACAGCGAGTAAATGCTGCCTCTAAAGCTTGGCTCCATCCCCTGGCTGTAGAAGCAGGGGGTTTGAGAGCGTTGCTGGGCATCTCTGTGCACCTCTGAATGGTTTGTAGAGCTCCTGGAACCAAAACCCTGAGTAGAGCGGCTCCTAGTGCTGGAGCATCGGGGAACATGAGATCGCCTCAGCTTCCCAAGTACTTCAGTGCACCGGCTCCTGTGTGGAGCCTCACGGTTGATTGCTTTTCACAAAAGCCCTGTGAAGAGGATCTGAACCGTCCATTCCACCGACAGGGAACTGAGGTTCGGGGAGTTCGGCTTCTGGATCCTGCAGCACAGGCTTGGGGAGTGGGGGAGATTTTTGCTGGCTCCACTTCTCCTGCTGCACTCTGGCTGTCTCTGTCTTCCCAGCTCAGTCCTCTGCCAATCATTCCCTTCTTCTTTCTGCTCCCATGTCCACTGGCTCAGGCCTCCGCTATGGCCCATCCTCCCAGGAGGGCTAACTGCAGGCCTGACTAAGTCTTTGTGAGGAGGAGGTCATACTTCGCTCCGGCTGGGATCTGTACACAACTTTTTTTTTTCTTTTTTTGGTGCCAGGGATTAAATTCATGACCTCATACTTGCTATGCAAATGCTTGTGCTACTGAGCTAAACCCCTGGCTTTTTTTTTTTTTGGTACTGGGGACTGAACCAAGGGCTTTCACACTGAGCACCAGTCCCATCCATATCCCCTACTTTTAAAATTTTGAGACAGTCTTGGGAAGTCACTACACTGTTCAGGCTGAGCTTGGATTTTTGCTCCTTTTACCTCCCAGAGTGCTAGGATTATAGGCATGAGCCACTATACTAAGTCTCTTTTCTCTTCTTCCCTTTCCCTCTTTTTCTTCTCATCTTTGTCCTCTTTTCATCCTTCTTCCTCCTCTTCTTTCTCCTTCATGATGCTGGGGATCAAACTCAGGGCCTTACACATGTTTGGCAAGTGCTATACAGCTGAACTACATCCCTAGCCCTGTTTACAACTTTTCTGATTCTGGGTTTAGATAGTGATTGGTTTGTTTGAAGCACAGTCTCACTATGTAGTCCAGGGTGGCTTTGAACTCGTTTTGTAGCCAGGCTGGCTATCCTCCTGCCTCAGCCTCCCAAGTTCTGGGATTGCAGATGTGTGCTGCTATGCCTGACTTCTCTGTCCTGGGCATTGTAGGGTTTCAGCAGAAACAAGGCACACCAAGGTCTTTGCAAAGGAAGCCTCAGGAAAGGACTGCTCAGGCATGGTGGGGCACCCTGCCATGTGCAGCAGTGGGATGGAGTTAGTTCCTTGGGCCTGTAAGGACAAGGGAGGACAGCTTTGTTAGTGAACCATGCAAAAACTGCACCTATGGGTGTGGTGGACCCAGTAGGAGCTGTGGCTTTCTGTCAAGAACAATGGTAACTGCCAAAATCACGGAAGGAGGGAGGGAAGGCATGATAAACATCCTGGTCTCACTCTCTCCCTCCCTGTGATCTCCTGCCATGTCTCCTGTTACACAAACTCCACCTGAAGCCAGAAGCCTACGGGCCACACACTGTCAGAGGGATCAGCCCCAGGACTCAGCAGCGCAGCAAGAAGACAAGAATGGAGGCAAAGCAGAAAATAGCTTTGGTACTGGGAATTGAACTCAGGACCTTGTGTTTGCCAGACAGGCACTGTGCCACTGATCTAAATCCTTGGCCCAGAACTTGTCTTTTGAAGCACAATCTGTGACTGGCTCTGAAACCCTCTCCCTCAGCCTTTCAGACCGAGCTTACTCTGTGCAGCAGGAAAGCTGCCCTGCTCCTGAAGCTGACCTCTCTCCCCGGGCCCGGCCTCCCTGAGTCTCCTGGCCTAGCAGCACATCACTCAGCCAAGTGGTATGGCACATCCCCCACGCAAACTCAGCCCCCATGAGATGGTTCTGGCCTCCTCTGCATGGTGAGCTGCCTGCAGGCCTGGGCCAAATAAGGCCATTTGCCCTCACACAGACCCAGAACCAGGGTGTGCCAAGTGAAGAAAGTCTTTTGACCCACTCACCTCACTCTGCCTGGGTGGAAACAAACTGTACCTGTGTTTCTGTCTCTTGGAGTAAACGGGGACTCTTTGTCCATGGGTGACCCAGGCCTGGCACACAGCAGGTGTCAGCTGTTGCCCAAATTGGCCTAGGTAGGACCATCTTTCATTCCTTACTTCATCCAACAAAATTTCCTACTACTGTATATACCAGGCCCTGTGCTGGTCCCTGGGGATGCAGCAGAGACGATATACCACGTTCCTGCCCTTACGTGGGGCTTTCATTCTAGCGGGGAAGCAAAGAAGGAAAGAATCAAAACCCAACCCTGTCATGGCATGACATTATTGTCACAGTGATCAGGGCTCACCTAGAAGAAAGAGGGTAACAGGATGAACAGTCAACCAGAGGACATTATAGAGGCAGCCCTGGGGGGAGCCCGTGTTCTAGCCTAAAGAAGGGCTTGGGAGAAGGTGGGAGTTAGGAAATTCAGTCTGGGGGACTGCCCGGAGCCGGCTCCTGGCAGGACTTGGAGGGAAAGAGATGGCTCCTCTGAATACTACCCCTGCCACCTGTTGCCTAGCACCAGCAGCAAACAGCACCTCTGGCAGGCCCTGCCCTCACTCCCCTGACTGGCAGCAGCTGTCAAGCAACCAAGCAGCTGCGGCATTGCCAACTTCCTCCCCTAGAATATTTTAGGGATACGTCAGAATATGACCAGCAGCCTTTAAAACCTGAGTTTTTCCCATGCAGACCTTACAAGGGTATACTACACTGTCCCGGGTGTTAATTTTCCACCCCCTTGCATTACAGAGAAAGTTATAAATATAACTTTCATGCTCTGTAGAGCATGAAAAGTAGAGCATGAATGAACCACCCACATCCCCAGTCACAGGCAGAGGACACTCCACACATCTGCTGGGAGCAGCCCTCCTGCCTCAGCCACTGCGGTCATACACAGCAGCCCTTGGTCAAGCACACAATCACAACCACACAGAGGACCGTACACAAGCCTCACAAGCAGTCACTGAAGCCAGTCCCTCACCTCAAAGGACAGTGGGCAATGGGCAGGATGGCCACACGCATTCATCCTACGCTCGGCCACACGCATTCATCCTACGCTCAACCACACACACGTTCCCTACAATCATCACAGTCGCACAACCCTACCTACTCCGCACACCACACTTGAGAAAACGTGACCATCTGTTCCTGCCTCTGTGGGATCACAGGACAGAAGCACACGCACCATAGAATCGCATCATCTCCCCGCCCCCACCCCGCCCCACGTTCAAGGCCTCTGATTACAAGGCATAGCGTTCTTTTTGGATTGAGTCAAAGCCCTCTCCAGACACAGGGACAGTGGAAAAAAGGAATCAGAAAGAAAACTTCTGGGGGCTGAGTCTGGGAAGGGGCCCAAGAGCCGTTTACTTGGGGATAAAGACCAGGGTTGAGTCTGGCCCTGACACTTGTGGGAGGCGGACTTGGGGAGGGGTTGGTTGGTTATGCCTTAAAGTTGGCAGAAGGCCGGCTGAGCGGGGGTGACAGGTGGCGCAGGACGCACAAGGACTCCATCACGCAGTCTTAAGCCCTCGGGCGGGCGACCTCCTCCTGTTCTTCCCTAACCCCGTCCCAGGTCCCCAGGCCCCCAGACACCCGGCTCCTCCAGCCCCTGGTCTGCGCGGGGTGTGGCCGTTACCTCCTCCAACCCGGCGCCCAGCCCTGCTGACAGCTGCGGGACAGCAGGCGGCTCCCAGTCCCTGCGCATCGGGGTGGACACGCGCGAGGGAGGGAGGGGGCCCTGGGTGCCTCCGCGGCCCCTCCCCAACCTCGCTCCCCCACAGTGGGAGCGGGGAAACTGCTCCCCGGGCCGCCGGATCTCCCTCCTCCCGTCTCCTGCCCCACATCAGGGACCTGGGGAAGGCGAGGTGGAAGGTTCGGGAAGACTGGGGGCGACGGGTTGGGAACGCGCCCCCGTCCCCTTTTCCCCTAAGCCCGCCTCTCCCCACCCCCAGCCAGATCTCTCCTCCAGCAGCGGCCTGAGCCCGGGCCAAGTGGGTGCGCCCGCCCGCCGGGCCGGGATCCGGTGTCGGCTGCAGCTGGCAGTGCGCGGGCGCGAGCGCGGCGGCCGGCAGGCCCGGCTATTAATAACGCGCCGGCCGAGCCCGGGTCGCGCAGCCATGGCCACCCCGGAGGCCCGGAGCGGCGGGGACGGCGGCGCCCAGGCCGGGAGGTAGGAGCCACCGGGCCGCGTCGCAGCCCCTTTGGGGAGGGGGTGCTGGACAGTTCCCTCCCCCCACCCGCGGCCCAGTCGCCTGGCTGGGGGTAATGGTCCAGTCCGGGTGGGACTGGGGACGGAGCCACTCAGGGAAGGAGGTGGGGAGCTGTGACCCGGGTCAAGGCACCTGGTGGGGGGGTGACTTTTTCTAATACGCTATGCGCTATGCCTCCTATGGACCGTGTGAGAATTAACTCTTTCAGGCCACCAGCTATTCAAAAATCCACTTAGTCCATCTGACCAAATAACCTGCTCGTTTTCTTTTATTCCTCACTTCAAGTGTCTACCAGGATGAGGTGACCAGTGGTGAATTTGCTGCATGGGAATCAGTTGGTGCAAAGTTGGTCGTCTGCCAGCTTGAAGTTAAGAGTCTGTTCAGGCATCTTATTCTTTCCTGTCAGGCCTAGGATGGGGACATCGAGGGTCTACTGCCTCCAACCATTAAGGGGTCCCTGCCTGGGGTGGGGCCAGGAGGACAGGCCCACTCCATCTCTCTGTACTGGGTAGTGCAGAAGGTGCTAAGAGTGAGCTGGGAGTATTTCTGCCCTGTGTCAGGCGTGGTCCTAGTCTTCGCACTATATTAAGAGGTAGAGGTGCAAACACCTGCTACATTTGGGGACACAGTCTTACACAGGCTGTTAAGTGTACTGCTGTCCACAAACACAGGTATGCAAGGAGTCAGGCACACAGACTGCTCTGTGCCACACACGCACATTCCTAGCCACATCCCTAGGACAGTGCTAGGGAGCCGCTGGAGTTCTCTGGGATGGCAGTGACAGAGGCAGGCTGCCTAGGGCAGAAGGAAGCCTGAGGTCAGGGGCCTGGGAGGAGCTCCCCAGCCTCCCTCCCTTTTGGCCTATTATTGGATCTGCTTTCCCAGTACAGAGAGGTAGCAGTGTGAAGGCAGTGTCTGACACTCTGGGTGGGTGGCAGATTGGGAAATCATAAGACCTAAATTGTCCCTCCAGTTTGGTCTCTTGACCTTGGGCAAGTTTCCTCCCTGGAGCTCAGATGGTCTCTGCCTGCCTGCCTTCCAAAAGCCCCACCCTTAGGATATGGAGCAGAATTGTATTTGTCCTTAGCATTCACTGTCAGTGAGATGGGTGCATGCACTTCTCTAGTGCAGAACCAGAAGCATAAACAGTGACAAAGTGAAGATACAGGTGGCCCTTGTCTGGGAAATATTTTGCAGAGGAGATAGTTTGAGCAAGGCTTGAAGGATTTAAAAAAATTGTTAGGGCTGGGGAATTAGCTCAGCAGCATAAGCGCCTGCCTGGCAAGCGCAAGGTCTTGAGTTTGATCCCCAGTACCCACCTCAAAAAAAGTTAAATAGGTTTTTGTATGTATTTATTGCAGGGTTGGGGATCAAATCTAATGTCTCATGCATGCTAGTCAAGTATTCCTCCCCTGATCTAAATCCCCAACCCTAAACCATGTAATCCCGGCACTTGGTAGGCTGAGGCAGGACTGCCAGGAGTTCTGGGCCAGACTAGACTGCATAGTGATGCCCCGTCTCTTAAAACAAAAATAAAGTTTCAGCCCTAGGATGTTTGCTTATTTGCTTTTTTTGAGACAGGGTCTCGCTATGCAGTTCAGGCTGGCCTTGAGCTGACTTTGTAGCCCAGGCTGGTCTTGAACAAGTAAAAAAGGGTCTGGGGATTTAGCTCAGTGGGAAGGCTCTGGGTTGCATCCACAGCACCAAAAAATAAATTGCTTAGAACTCCCAGGTGGGAAAGGCAGCTCTGCTAAGTAGTAGGATGGGCCAGCGGCTGAGAAGGTGTGCTTTCTTGGTGTTAGGAGCTCCAACTTCCTAGGTAGCACAAGGCTGTTTTCTAGGCAGGTGGTGCTGGGGAAGCTGCATTGCTCAGCAGGATCTTTCTGACATTGCAGGCTCAAGAGTGGGAGGTGTAAAAAACGTCCTGGGTTGTCAAGCATTGAGTGGGTTGCAGGAGTAACGTGAGCTGAGGCTAAAACAAGTGCCACATCTTTAAGACTTTGAAACTGTGAAATGGAGCAACATTCTGTTGTAGCCTACTAACTGGTACTATACAGAATAACTGGGGTGAGGACGATGAGGCCCATTAGAAGGCTGGGCAAAGTACAGAAGAGTTGCACAAGGCTGGAGAAGTAGGGATGGAGTCAGGAGACTTCCCAAGGTAGATCGGCCAGTTCTCCATGATTTGGCCACAGTGGGAAAGAAAGAGGTGTTTAAGATTTCTTGCTAGTTAACCTGAAATGTGGTGATGTGTTTCTCTGAGCCCGAGAGTACATATGTAGCAAGCCCCAGGAAAATTATTATTTGGGGCAGCTGAGTTCTTTACAGGTAACAAATACCACTTTCTCTCTAGCAAAGCAGTGTGAATGGATTAGGTGATTGTTGAGTTTAACTTCAGGTATTAAAGTCTTGGAGTGAATGCTGGATGGAGTAAGGCCAGTGATGTCAAGAGGCCTGGTGAAGCAGACTTTCATGGTTTCCAGAGGGCCGCTCTTACATACAGAAAAGGAAGTCGGAGACTCATGACTTGTTAGGTGGGAAGAGCGTACTTGATGATTTAGTGATCTTTACTGGAGCCAGGTATGGTGGCACACCTGTATAATCCCAATATTCCAGAAGCTGAGGCAGCAGGATTGTAGTGAGTTTGATGCCAATGTGGGCTACTCAGCTCAAAGCCAGCCTGGACTACATGGAGACCTTGTCTCAAAAACACAAAATAACCGAATCCTGGTCAAAAAGAGAGACCTAAATGAGACAGGCACTTGAACTTTGTTATATATGGAATAACTGAAAGGTAACTTACCTACTTTTGTGTATGATACTGAGGACTGAACCTAGGGTCTTGAGCTAAGCATGTACTCTTATACCCTAGTAGCCCCTAAATAGGTTATCTTTAAGTGTTTATAAAGAACATACATGAAAAACCATTCAAATTGTCTGCTTCTAAGAATATGAAGTCCAGCAGGTAAGAAGCACAAGGAAGAAGTTCCTACCTTAAACATTAGAATTTTACTAGTAGTGACTTAGGTGTGAGTTTTCTGTCTTTGAAGTTAGGTAAGTAGAAACCAATTATGTGGGAGTGTAGTCAGGGGAGCAAAACAAAGGCTTATGAGATCTGAAAACCTCCTCCCCACCTCTTTCCCCTTTATCTTCTTTTTCTGGTACTAGAGATTGAACCAATGGGCCTCCACATACTAGGCAAGTGGTCTACCACTGAATTACATCCCCAGCCTAGATTTTTTAAAATCATTATTCTTTGGTTTTTCTTTTTTTGTACTAGGGATTGAACTCAGAACCTCGTGCATGCCAGACAGGCGCTTTAAGCCACTGAGCTAAATCCCTGGTGCATTTTTAAATCTTTCTTTCCTGCAGGGAAGTAACAGCAGAAGCTGTTTCTCAAGAAAATTCTGAATCTCTGAGTGTGACTGAGACCTTGAACCCAGAAGCTACGCTATCTTTGGAGGGGACTGTCAACCTAGAAGACATTCTCTACCTTGGGGACACAGATGACTTTGAAGAGATACTTTATATGGGAGACACTCAGGAGCCAGAGGAGATACTGTATATTGAAGAGACTGGGCATCCAGAGGAGACACTATTCATGGGAGAGCCTGTGAAACCAGGGGAGACACAGTATGAGGAGACTGTGAAGCCACACGTGGATCAAGCAGAGAGCCTGAGCCCAGAGCAGATTGTGTGTGAGACAGAGACGGTTGCAAGGGAGGAAAAATCCAACCCCGAGGAAAGCCTTAAAGCTGAGCCGAGCCCCAGTACAGAGGAGAACCTGAGCATCGAGGACCTGGAACTGCTAGAGGACCGTTTCCAGCAGTGTGTGCAAGCAGTAGCCCAGCTGGAAGAGGAGCGGGATCAGCTCATTCATGAGCTGGTGCTGCTCCGTGAACCAGCCCTGCAGGAGGTGCAGCAAGTCCATCAGGATATATTGGCTGCTTACAAGCTGCATGCACAGACAGAGCTAGAGAGAGATGGGCTGAGGGAGGAGATCAGGCTGGTTAAGCAGAAGCTGTTCAAGGTGACCAAGGAATGTGTGGCGTACCAGTACCAGTTGGAGTGCCGCCAGCAGGAAGTGGCTCAGTTCGCTGATTTCCGGGAAGTACTAACCACAAAGGCAGCCCAGCTGTCTGGGGAACTGGCCCAACTCCAGGATGCTTATCAGAAGCAGAAGGAGCAGTTGAGGCAACAACTAGAAGCGCCCCCAAGCCAGCGGGATGGGCATTTTCTCCAGGAGAGCAGGCAGTTGTCTGCCCAGTTTGAACATCTCATGGCAGAGAGCCGACAGGGGCTGGAGGAGGAATATGAGCCTCAGCTACTGCGGCTCCTGGAGAGGAAAGAAGCGGGGACCAAAGCTCTGCAGAAAACTCAGGCCGAGATCCAGGAGATGAAGGAAGCACTGAGGCCCCTACAAGCAGAGGCCCGGCAGCTCCAGCTGCAAAAGAGGAACCTGGAGGACCAGATCACACTCGTGAGGCAAAAACGAGATGAAGAGGTGCAGCAGTACAGGGTAGGCCTATTCGTATGAAAAGTCTTAAACCCAATAAAGGAAAGTGTGAGAATTTAATGTCTGGGGTTGAAGGATAGTGCCCTGTGTGGGAATAACTCATTCTTTGGGGCCATTCACTCACTCCTTTCCTCCATTCTTCATTTCGTTCAGTTGGGCCTGTTTTAGAAGCTAAGTTATTTGCATCATTTTTTTTTACTGGTACCAGGGACTGAACTCACGACCATGTGCTTGCAAAGCAGGCGCTCATGCCGCTGAACTAAATCCCCAGCCCCACCCTTACAGTTTTTAAATTTTTTTGTCTTTTTCATTTTTATCCGTACCAGGGATAAAACTCACGACTGCCTGCTTGCAAGGAGGTGCTTATGCTGCTGAGCTAATTCCCCAGCCCCAGTTTTTATATAGTATTTTTAACTTTTACTGCACTCAGCTTTTTTTGGAGTGCGGACAAGTCATGGTAAGTCACAGAATTGCCCAGGTTGGGTTAGAATTTGCAGTTCTCCTGCCTCAGCCCGAGTGCAGAATTACACATTTGTGCTACTATGCCCAACCATTTCATAGGTGAGGAAATTGACTCAGTAAACTGCAGTTTACTCAACCTCAAATACTTCAGTGCTCCTTTCACAGCCTTTTTTTTTTTTTTTTTTTTTTGAGACAGGGTCTTGCTATGTAGTTTAGGTTGGCCTTGAACTAATAGCACTCCTCTTGCTTTAGCCTCTCAAGTGCTGGGATCACAGACCTGCACCACCACACCTGGTATGTTTTAACTGAACAGTGAGTCATATTTGGTGTATAGAAAATAGTAGAGTAAGGGGCCAGATAAGAGCTGGGTGTGGTCGTACCTGCCTGTAATCAACCCCTTAGGAAGCTGAGGCAGGAGGGTGAATTTAAAGCCAGACTCATCTCAACAAAACACAAAAAGCCAAGTAGAATGAATTCATTCGCTTTCCTCCACCTCATATTCACCTTGCAATCTCACTCATTCAATTGCCATACTAAAGCTGAGCAGCCTTTAGGCTGAGATGCAATCTATAAATTTTCCTTCATGTAAATCATCTGCCTTGTATTCGTTATTCCAAATAAATGTGAGCCAGTGCTAATCCTTTTTTAAACCACAGTGAGATATATATATTAAGTGAATAAACAGTTACATCTGCTTGTCATACACTAGGCTTTCAGAAGGTAGAAGCTGTTTCACTTATCTCTGTTAATTCTCTGACACTCATAGTTCAGAAGGGCTGTATTAGGAGTTGTTGGGCACTGGAGGAAATGTTTGCGTGGGAACTTTCTTTCTCTTGAAACATGCATTTCTTTGGATATTTAGAAATCTTATGCCCTCCCCCATGTCTGGCTGGGTCACCATTTTTATAAGCAATGACACGTTTCATCTTTAGTTTTCCTAACCTGTCCTATACCAGTCTCTCTAAATATGATAAACTATATATAACAAAGCACTTTATGAACTACTGCTGACAATGTTAGGGTTTTAACAAATTGCTTGGTTCATCAGATTATGTTCTTGGCCTTCTCATTCAGGAACAGCAGGAGGAAATGGAAGAACGAAAGAGGCAGTTAAGAAATGGGGTGCAACTCCAGCAACAGAAGAACAAAGACATGGAGCAGCTAAGGATCAGTCTTGCAGAAGAGCTCTCAACATACAAGTTAGTTTTTGCTGCCATCCAACTCCTACCTAATACTGGCTGAGTGGTGGGAAGGGCCCAGGAAAAATCTCATTTAACAATGGGTTAATTGTGCTCATCCAAGAACAGATGGAAAACAACTTTCTTTTTTTAAAAGGGCAATGCTTCCCAAAAGCCTGGAACAGGCTGATGCTCTCACTTCTCAGGCAGGTGGAATGGAGAAGCAGTCTCAAGGTGATCTTTGTGTGCAGAGGAATGGTGCTTGCATTATTACTGCTTTCTTAACAATACTAATACCTTTCTTTGGTTTGGCAGTATCAGTGATTGAACCCAGGGCCTCATGTGTGTTAGGCAAACACTAAATTGCTAAATTGCATTCCCAGTTTTATTAATGCCTTAAGTAAGAGTGTAATGATAACCTATTTAGTGATAACCTGTGCCTATAGATTGCCTAGGACAAATATTTGGGCGCACTTGAAACAAGAAATCAAAATATAACCTAGTTATCACTAGGAATTTTGCATTAGAGAAGGCATCTGACCTTTGGGCATTCTTAGATCCTCACCCTACCCACCTATCCCTACCTGCTGTTCAGTTTCCTTAGTATATCAGAGAAGACAGTTGCGTTACCTAATTCAGACCATGATGGGCAGCCAACAAAAAGGACAAATTAAGCCTAGTATGGTGGCACATACTTTTAATTCTAGCACTTTAGGAGTCCAAGGCAGAAGGACAGAGTTCAAGGACAGCCTAAACTACATAGCCAAAACACTAAAACATTACCAAGTCATGAAAAAAAGCTGAGAATGGTTTAGACAGAACTACTGCTTGATATGTGAAATAACCAAGATAGCTATTTTTTTTTTTTGGTACCAGGGATTGAACTCACAACTTCACCTTAACAGGCAGGTGCTTATGCTGCTGAGCTAAATCCCTGGCAAGACAGCTATTCTTAATTTATTTGAATTATTTAGGATCTTTCCTGGTTTTTTTTGGTACTAGGAACCCAATTCGTGATCTTGCGAGGCAGGCCCTGGTTCTTTGAGGTAACAGTCTTACTATGTAGTTCAGGCTGGCCTTGAACTCACAATAGTCCTGCTGCCTCAGGCTCTAGAATACTGGGATTACAGGTGTGTGCCACCATGCCCAGCTTCTCCAATTCTTTATAAAATAATAGATTCTCTTAGATAAACTAAAGATAAATCTGGGGTTGAAGCATAGTGGTAGGGTGCTTAAGGTTTGATCCCTACTATTGCAAAAAACCCTATGAAAAAACAAAAACTGAGGATGTCTGTTTTGTTCTATGCGCTAGACACATTTCCTAGATATAAATTCCTATTTTAACTTGTGTCTGTAACTTCCTAGAATTTTCACTTAGTCTTTTATCCAGATATAAATGATTATGGTTACTATATGAACTATATGGGAGACTTACAACTTTGTAACTGGGGGCAAGGTCCTGCTGAACTGGTATGTACAGTAAAAAGGTATGACTAAAGAAATGAAACTTTTTTAAAAAAATTTTTGTCTTTTTCCTTTTTATTGGTACTGGGGATCAAACTCACGACTGCCTGCTTGTAAGGCAGGCGCTTATGCCGCTGAGCTAAATCCCCAGCCCCAGAAATGAAACTTTTTAATAACTGTAAGTTAACCTAAGTAGAGAAAATTTTTAACTATCCTTTCTAATCACCATCAGATAGGCAATAATTTCTTGTGTTCTGCAAATAGAAAGCACCCAGTGTTTGCTAGGGGCAGGTCATCCCTGATCATATGTAGCACTATTTAAACCTTGGAAGTTCATTATTACATATATTTGCTTCTGAATTTCAAGTAAGAGAAAGCATAAACTTTTTTTTTTTTTTTCCCTCTCAACATTACAGGGGCTGCTTAGAAATGTATGGCCGCATCTGTAACACAGAAACAACCAAAAAAACTTCATAGCAAAAAATTACGAAGTACTCTTTGGACTTTTCTCAAACAGACAGAGTGCTAGAACTTAGCAAGCAATTCACTCTGTGAAAATTGCAAATACTGGCTAAAATGATTCTGTTATTGGCTGGGAAAACATCAGCCAATTCTTAGTTGGATTTTACTTCATAAGTCACTGGTACTGACCTGAATGTGCTGAGGAATGGAAAAAAGGCCTATCTTCCAGAAGCAACCTTCACATATGCAGGCTAAGTAAAGGATGAATGTATGGACACTTCTTGCAGTATTGTGGAAGAATGTATCTTGCTTTGTGTTGACCCAAATCAAAAACATTTTGGGGGACAAAAAGCCAACTTTCCTTATGGGTCTGCAATGTGAATTCTTTTGTGCCATGAATGTTAAGATTTTAAAGAATCCTCTTACAAAGTTTACTTTTTAAGGGCTATGCAGACTCAGTTTACTCTTAAAATTTTTGTCAAGATAATTTTCATTGTATTTTAAGACAATCAGACTTTAAGAAAACCAATTTAGACTGGAAAATAAGTTTAAAACCACTGTACTCAGATTTTTCCCAAATGATCTGAAATGATTTTTGGGTATTAATGAAACTACTCAATCAAAAACAAAAACCGAGTGACTAAAATAAACCAATCATTTATATGATTATGGTACAGGATGATATAGGCTCTCAGAGCTGGCTGTTTTGATTCTCTTAAGTACAGGCCCCAGTGGAAAACATACTGGGGAAAGTCAACCTCTCTGTGATAAAATGTTCAAGAACCTTTTCTACATTTAAATTTTGCCTTAAACTCTACCATACTGCCTTTGGCATTTGAAAGCCCATGTAATTCTCTAGGGACTGTTTATGCCATTTTTATCATAGGCTAGTCTGTGCACCTCTGGCTGTGTTTTATGTCTCGAATTTTTCCTGGAAAGGAGTAAAGCTCTTTTCTATAGCTCTGGGTCTGTTTAATTTTATTCTTGATAGTTAGAGACCACAGAAAATAACTCATCTGGGGCCAGGGATATAGCTCAGTGGCACAGCGCCTTCCTGGCAAATGTGAGCAATTCCTTGTACAAAAAACCAAAATCAAACAACACCCCCCGCCAAACTCATCTGAATAACTGCTCTAAAAGTGACAGATTTGTATTTGATGGTGTTAACATTTAAATAAAACCCATCAGCATGGGGTTATGTAGAAAAGCAATTTATTCCATTATAAGCACTTACACAGTTAGTCATGGAGAGTAACAGGCCTGCTGGTGAAACAGGTCACCTGAAATAGAGATGGTATCAAACTAGTGGTCAAGGACTAATTTACTCCTTAAAAAAAAAAAAAAAAAAAAAAAAAGCAACTCTTATCAAGGATTAATTTAATTTTAAAAACAAATACAAGCTATCATATCACCCTTCTCAACTTGACAGTCCACCTGAGGCATAACTGTCAGGTAAAAACATACATCTTTACAACTTGGTGGTCCCAAGTTAAAACAACATAAAACCAACAAAAACCATTTCACAGAAAGGAAAGGAATAATATGAAAACAGCTCAAGAAATACACTAACAAGCAAAAATATATGGGAAAAAAGGAACATGTAGCTTTGACTTAACTGAAGAAACCAAGAGGAGACTGGTCTACATAAGAAAATATGCATCCTGGAAAGTCAGGTATGACTTAGAATATGAATCTATGACTTGATTCTCCCCTAATTCCTGAATAAAAATGACGTCCTGCAGTACTTATACTTCATGGCTCAGACACCTACCCTCACTTGGCTCTATTCCTTATTCACTCTAACCTTTACTGAAACAAGTCTGAAAAACTTGGGGATATAGCTTTAAAAGAAAAATAACCACACATTATATTCCCCTTTTCAAAGCTACTTTAGACCTGGGTTTGTTGCTAGAAAATTCCTAAAGAAAATTTAAATAAGTTTGTGGCTTTGCTGAATCAAGTACCCCAGTTAATATTTAGAAAATACCCACTTTTGGGGCTAATAGTATTATTGGTGGTATCTATTATGGAGGGATAGCTGAATAAAGTCTGTATGTCTCAAAACCAGTGTTAAATCAATCTCAGGGTTGAGAGGAAAAAAGGGGAGTCTAAAATCATGAGTGCAGAAATATCTAGGATCCTTGTCCTTCTGGATCCACACTTCCTTCAGGGTCTTCATCATTATAAATGTTCTCTGCCTGCTCAAAACAAGAAAAAGAATATTTAGTAATCATGAAGGTGACTTCTCGATTTAACTCAAGATTCCATTAACAGATTAGGCCAGGGAACAGATAAATATTTTAGGCTTGTGGATAATATAAACGCTGTTCCAACTTTTCTGCCACTGTCACAGAAAATCTGTAATAGGCATGACTTACAAAGCATGTATGGCTACATTCCACTTTTTATAACTGGCCACAGGCCTTACATTATGACATTCCCACAAAATCTGGTTACTATTCATGTTAATAGCTAGCTAGCATTTTTAAGTTACTTAATGAGATTGACTGTGAGATTACTGCACAATGCCTGAGTATGATAAAAACTTAATTATAAGCTTGAACTGAAAACCTGGCCAGGTGTGGTGATGCATGCCTATAACCTCAGAACTCTCTGGGAGGCTGAGGCAGGAGGATCCCAAATTAAAGCTCAGCTTGGACAATTTAGCAAGACCCCGTCTCAAAATGAAAAAGAGCTGGGGTTAGGATTTAGCACGAAGGCTCTGGTTCAATTCTCTGTACTGCAAAAACAAACAAATCCCAAACTACAAACCTGCCCAAACCATGTATTTTAAATCTCAAAAAGGTTTAATTCTAGAGCAAGGACTCTACCACTGTTCTATAGCCTCAACTGCTTTTTACTTACTATTCCTATGGGGTCTTTGTTTTCTTTGTTTTTTTGGTACTGGGAATGGAACTTGAGACCTTGCGCTTGCCAGGCAGGCACTTAAGCCGCTAAGCTAAATCCCCAGCCCGATTCCTATGGGTTTTAAGTTCCTTAAGTTCCTTTTTTTTTTTTTTTTTTTTTTAAAAAAAGGAACCAAATGGAAGGCATGGCAAGGTGAAGAGGGGTCTCAGGACTTTCATGAAACCTCTGGGCATGCTATACTCCCAGGGTTTTAGTATATTCCTCTAGGCTGAAGTTCAACAAACTAGGTTCTTCCCTTCCCCTAGGGCAAGATCTTACTATGTTGCCTCAGGGTGGTCTCACATTACCATCAGGTATATGCCATTGATCCTGAATATTTTGATGCAGGTGTGGGGGTACGTGGCAGTATTGCAATTAAATCAAGGGAATCAAACACAATCTCCTGCTTGCCAGGCAGGTGCTGTGACACTGAGCTATATCCCCAGTCCTAGCTGTACTATTTCGTACTTTTTTCAAGACATGGTATTGCTATGCAGTTCAGGCTAGCAACAATCCTTATGCTTCAGTCCCCCACATGCTGGGATTATAGGCATGTACCACCATGCCTGGCTTGCTGTGTAGTTCAAACTGGCTATGAATTCACTATGTACCCCAACCTGGCCTTGAACTTGTGGCAATCCTGCCTTACCCTCCCAAGTGCTGAGATTATAGGTGTATGTCACCATGCCAGGATTTTTTTTTTTGGTACTGGGAATCAAACTCAAGACCTTGTGCTTGCCATGCAAAGTACTGTGCCACTGAGATATATCCCTGGCCCTGGTTTTATTTCTTATATTAACAGCAATCCTTGTGTTTCACAAATTCTGGGATTGTAGGTATGTACCTTATGTCCAACTTAAGACATTAGTGTTTTGTTTTTATGTTGAGGATTGAATCCAAAGTCTTATGCATGTAAGTATGCCCTGTACCATTGATCCATACCTAGAGTTTAGTTCTCCTGGTGCTAGGAAATGAACCCAGAGTTTTGTACATATTAGTTCTTCCAGTACTACAGATTAAACCAGGGGTGTTTTACCACTGAGTGCCAACCTCAGCCTGAGTGAATGGATGATGTCCTTGGAATTGAACTCAGGGAACACAGCTATATTCTCTACACTTTTTATTATTATTATTATTTTTAAATGCTTCAGTAAGTTGCCCAGGCTGGCTTCAAACTTATCTCAGTTGGGATTTCAGGGGCATATCACCTAGTCTGGCTTCATATTATTCTTTAATTTTTTTTTTTTTTTTTTTTTTTGTCTTTTTCCTTTTTATCGGTACCGGGGATCGAACTCACGACTGCCTGCTTGCAAGGCAGGCGCTTATGCCGCTGAGCTAAATCCCCAGCCCCCTATTCTTTAATTTTTTTATATTGGGAATCAAACTCATGATCTCATGTCTATCATGCAGATATTATTAAATTCTAAGTGTTCTGAAAATTCAAAAGAGCAATTACTTAAAATTCAGCTTTAGAGTTAAGAAATACATCTTAATTCTAGACAGGTTTCAGAAAAATGGCAATATATCTCATATTGTAACATAGTATCTTCTTTGGATATATATATTTGCATTTGTAAGGTAAATACATATGGGAGAAATATTACTGATAGGTAACATGAAAATTTTTAAGGGTACTAGAACTAGAGGTGAACAGATACACAGAACTCTTACAGTTTTCAAGTCTGGTTAGCTGGGAGACACTAGTGCTTAGAAAACGGAATGAGTAGTAGGCAAGGGGAATGAGAAGGAACAGAAGATAATCAGTGGGACAACAGATAAATGTAAAAGGATGGCTGAAAATGGCAATGTGCATAAGCACTAAATTTGTATGTAAGAAAAAATTGAACCGACAGGCATTGTATTTATGAAGTTATGTAAATATAAAATGCTGATGTTGCTGGGAGTGGTGGCACCTAATCTGAATCCCAGCATTCAAGAGGCTGAGGCAGGAGGACTGATTGTCAAGAGTTCAAGGCCATCCTAGACTACAGAGCAAGACTCTGTCTCAAGACAAAACAAAACAATACAAATGATGGTATGTCTCATTTATCTTAACTTCTCCAAATAAATGACAGAAACACTTACCATCTGCCACACTTGCATGATATTGTCTTCTGATACAGAACAAATCACCCAAGGTTCATTGGGATTCCAAGAAAAATCAGATATCTTAGCAGTGTGACCACCATGAATAAACTGAAAGAGATAAAAAAAACCAAAGATACAAAATGCAGATAGAAAGCAGGGTGTGGTCGTGCCCAAACTTGGAAGTCTGAGGTAGGAGGACTGTGGCAAATTCAAGAACCACCTTGGGCTACAGAGTGAGCTTAAGGTCAGCCTGAACTGCTTAGTGCTGACCTTGTCTCAAAAAGACTACAAATAAGCACAGATAATATTAAAATACAGCCTACTTCAATATGGTTCAAAGTTTGTAACATACCAACAATTCAGGTGGTCCATCTTCTGCATCTTCTGGAGACTGCTCTTCTCCAATTTTACTAGCACAAAAAAATAGGTCAAAACAGATTTACCCGAACTTTGGAAAGTGTAAAGAAAGAAAATAACTTCATCAAGAGTGAGATGTAAGACTTACCTTAAATCCCAGACATTCAGTCTGCGATCAGTACCACTGGAAGCCAGGATAGTCTCATTGTGAGGTGACCACTGAACCTACAGATGTGTAAGAAGAAAACAGAAAATATATGAACTAGAAAATTAACAGAAAAATATCTAAAGTTATACTCAATTTAACATTCCACACTGAGAAGGCTGAGGTAGGGAAATCAGTTGAGTTCTAGGCCAGCCTAGTCTACACAGCCAGACCTCATCTCCAAAAGCAAAACAAAACCACCACCCCCACCCAAAGTCAATAAAAGGGAAACAAACCAGGTGCAGGGGGACAAGCCTGTAACTCTAGCATTCTGGGAAGGCTCACTTCAAGAGGACTGATTGCAAATTGGAGCCCAATCTGGGAAACTAAGTAAGACTGTTTCAAGATTAACAATAAAGAGGCTTGCAGGCACTTGGGACCCCTCCTGCCTCTTAGGAGTTC